TAAAAAGTTAAGATTTTATTTTTAATGTGTAGAGAATTTTTGTAAAATCAACTCTTGGGCCTAGTACAATGGCTCATTTTGCTAATACTCCCCTTGCTGGGATCCCATATGGGTGCCAGTGTGTGTCCTAGAATGCAGTGGAGGATGGCCCAAATTCTTAGAACTCTACACCTGTGTGGGAAGCCTGAAACAAGTTTCTGGCTCCAGGCTTCAAATCAGCCTAGTTCCAGTCATTGTGGCCGTTTGGGGAGAGTACCAAAGGATGGAAGATCTTCCTCTGTTTCTCCTTCTCTCTGTCAATCTGCCTTTCCAATAAAAAGAAATAAAACTTTTTAAAAAATCAACCCAAATACCTTGGATCAGCAGGCAGAGAGCATGACGGGAGATTCACAGAAAAAATAATACCGACACCCTAGGGGAAAAAATCTCCCAGACTCATTAGTGTGTCTCTGTTAGAATTCCTTGGCCTCTGTTCTTACTTCTGGAATCTAAGAATCCTACACATGCTCCTTCCATTTAGATGAGGTGTGTGCATAACCCTTTAATGGGGGTAGGGATCTCAAACCTCAGATTGTGATTCAGTTCAACACCTGTTACACAACCTTCTTCTCTGTCAGAGAGCTAGTCCTCTGGTCATTTGCTGTTTCAAGTACTTGTTCAACAGCTGTTACCACCGCTTACCATCCTGGCAAGGGACTCTTCTGCTACAACAATGGTGTGAGACACTGAGTCAGTCCAATTGCCTGCTGTGTTGTGTTTGGGTTTATATTTTGCTGCTGCTATGGTTACCTGTAGCCCACAACTGACTCCACATTTCTCCCTCCAATGTTATCCAGCACTTGCAGTGTCACAGGGTTTTTCTCAGTGTTTCAGTTCCACCCAGCTTTTGTCCACTATATGTACCCAAGCCACTGGGACAGTATCTCTCCACATTCTTGCCCACTTCTGCCTTTCCTTCTCTAACAGAAGATGGTATTTGTTTTCTGTGCTCACTTGTCTAGTACTGTGGTGTGGAACAGGGGACTGGCTTTCATTGTGCTAGTCTTGCCTCAATCTTGGACAAATGTGTCCAGGTCTCAGTTTGGTACTTTTAGTTACTCCCCCGCCCCTTCCATGACAACAACCTCTCCATCACATATTTAATGTGGGAAAGTGGGAAGTTTAGCGTACGAACTGTCTTACCCTCTTCTAGCAGTTAGTAGGCCTCCAAGGGCTAATTCATAGGAGCCTGAGCACCACTAGGCAGTGTGGGTTTATGCCTGGTCTCACTATTACAATTATCTAACTTATCTGTTAGTCTTGACACCAGTGCCCTGCTTTCTTGCTTATTGTAGCATCATAAGAAGTCTTGAAGTCAGTTAGTATAAATTTTTCTACTTTGTTCATCACTTTCAAAATTAACTTTAATCTTCCCAGTCTGTATTTTCTCTCAGAAATGTATTGTAGTTTTAACATATTGGCACTGTACATCTTTTGTCCAATGTATCTCTATGTAGCATATTTTTTGGAATTTTAAAATTTATTATTATCATTTTATGATACAGTCCCATAAGCTACTGGGAATACCCTTATCCCCTCTCCAATTATCCCCCCACCTAGTTCCTCTATATCATTACTAAAGTATAGTTCTTTATACACAGTCATATGTCCATCAATGCGGGCATGGACAATGGCACAGAGTCAGCATCCTATTGTCAAGATACAGTTTCATTGTAAGTCCATCTTTGTCTGGAAGTGGAGATGCATACAACATTGTATCCTCACATCTGGATATGATAGTCTCCATTACACAGTTACTGTACATGCCCTTAAATGAAAAGCCATGATACAAAATCAACAATAGGAAGGAAAATAAAAATTTACAATGCCACAAAGTTAAATAACATGTTACTAGATACGACAGTCTCCATTACTCAGCTACTATACATCCCCTTAAATGAAAAGCCACAAAACAAAATGAACAACAGGAAGAAAAAAAATGAACAACATCATAAAGTTAAATAACATGCTACTGAATGACTAATGTGTCACTGAATAAATGAAAAACAAAATCTAGAACCTTCTTGAAGAAAATGATGCTTCTATAATGATCTATGAGTCATTGAATAATTTAATCACACGAAACTGTTTTGAAGAGATGAAACTAACAAAAACAAAAGCATCAAAATCCATGAGATACAGCTTCTGCTGATTTTTGTTGGTGAAATGTGACTCTTCCAGACAACAAATAAATGAGTTTTGTTTTTCAATCCAGTCTACTAATCTATGACATTTGATTGAGCTTAAGCCAATTACTTTCAGGCTTAATATATACAGCTGGTAATTTGGTCCTGTCGTTTTAGGAATGGGTTGTTCATTGATTTAGTCTTCTATTGTCATTTTACTGGGATGTTCTTCACATTTGGCTTTGGTTTTGGTGGGTGCTATTCCTCTTCTCTGTCAAGAGAATGGGGTGTCGGGCAGTCTAGAGCAGTATAAAGTTTAGCATTTTTAGGTCATAAACTATGGTGAGCACATTTCACTATATTTTCATTTTACATTGGTAAAATAGCAACAGGGAGGAGGCAATTAGAGAAGATCATTAGATAATAATGGACCCAAGCATATGGATTTCTCAAGACTCCCCCTTCTAGCAACAATACAACTGACCAATCCAGAATGCCAAGTGCCAGTTATATTCTGCACAAATGTTGGGGTTTCCTCAGAGTTTGTTATGGCTACTGGACCCGCAGGTACTAAACAGAGATGCATCACCATGGGTATTGCACGGGGGCTTTGATGCTCTGCAGAGCTGGGATTCATTCAGGCTCATCTTTGAGAACCTGAATGTGGTGGTTGTGTGACTACTGAACAATAATAACCCAAGCCCACAATTAATTTTTCACAGCTTCCATGTAGAGGCCCTGAAGTGCTTGGCTTCGGCTTACTCATGGGTGTCTGACTTTCGTTTGGGTTGTTAAGTCTGTTAGAAGTTGTCTTTACTTAAAATAAAAGAAGCAGCTGACAGAAACCTCGACTTCACTAACCAAGAAGGAATAATGCTTTTTTGACAAGATTAGTGCTACTAAAATGGGTCATACAGCTGCCGAGTCAATGCTAGAGAATGCCAGGGTAGAAGAAGAACTTCACAAATGCTTACAGAACAATGAGGTGGCTGGCTCAAAGCTGTTAGAGGCACAAACTTCTCTGATGCAAGAGTGGAAGGAAAAGCCATTCTCACACTCCAGACAGGAGGAGAGACCAGGGAGATGCTAAAAATTGCCAGGTCCCTGCCTCAGACCCATGAATTATGGTTGCAAGTATGAGCTGCAGTCCAGCTTAGGGGCAGTTATTTCAGAAATGGTCTTTTGGTGGGCAAAAAAAAAAAAGGAAAATATGTGACCTATTTTTTCTTGAATCTGTGTTACATGTTTATTTGAAGGACTTACGATATTAAAAATAATGATCTTAACTTGGTATGCCAGCCTACAGATTGTTTAATATAAATCTTTTTTTCTTTTCATTTTTACCAGTAATAGAAAGTGGGAAACACGTTTGATATTTTTGTAAGATAATTTTTGGGGGGAATCAAGTTCTCTCTTGGACAATCATGATCTTTTCTCCTTGCCTTTTTATATGTAAGTAACCTTTCACATTTGTTTACTGATTGTTAAGAAAGTGTTCTAGAATGTAGATGCCTTGTCCAGTTGTCTAAAACAAAGAAGCTGAAAGCTAAAAAAAAAAAAAAAAAATTCCCAGGCCTCTAGAAAAGGGCATGGGGATCAAATCACAAGGAGCTTTTGGAACACTGAAGGAAGCCAAGAGCCAAGCCCAGATACTTCCCCCTCAGTAATGGGTCTCAGTCAGAGACCAGTACTGCCCCCTTCCTCCAATCAGGCATTCTGAGCTATCAGGTTCTCTATTCACCACTCAGACTTCATTTGAGGGACAGTGAGGCCAGGGGATACTGGTGTTCCTTACTCATAGGCTGGTATTCCCAGAATTCATATCCTTAAGCATGAAGGTCAGGGCAGAGGAAAGAAGCAAGGCAAACATGTGCATGGGGAGTAGTTCCACCCTTCACAGGACTAGCAATGGTAGAGGAGTGTCTTGCTGGAAACGCTGTATGGATGTTTTTTGGAGAAATCTATAAACGATCCCTTATGCCAAGATGGAGTATCAAGTGCTTAAGAGAAAAGAAAGGTCTGGAGCTCAGAAGACCAATCACAGCTCAACCTATACATGCAACGTGTCATCCGAGAGTGATATACTATTTCAGAGAAGGTGTCCATTGTACTGGCAGATTCCACAGGGCACATTCAATGAGTCTGTTAGTGGCCAGGGTCCTCCTTAGGTTTCCCAATGTCAGCACTATCTTAACAAGCTCCAATGGTGATCCACTTAAGTTTCTCCCTACAACAGGACTCTTAAGTTGTGCACACTCCCCCATTCTGGTTCCTTTTCCAAGTGTTCACACTGCAAATAGCCAGAGAGCCCTGGGGAAACAGAGGAATTTTTCTTCTGAATAATCTTACAAATTTATGTTAAGACAGGGAGTGTTTTCTCACTTGTGGTAAGATGGTGCCAACTGATATCTGACCTGGAGACTCAGTCTGATTTGGGGATGTTAAATGTGAGATGGAGTTCTATTGGGATTCTGAGACATCCCCACAAAGCCCTTAGGCTTGTGAGCTCATTCTCAGCTCTATCCTACAACCATTGAATACACTCTTCCCTCCCCTCCCCCCATCCAATGCTGAGGTCAGGATTCATTCCCTAGAATACCAGAATCCATGAAAAGAGGAAGGACCCTCCGAAGCCTGCCTGGAAATTAGCCAGAAATGGCTTATCCCAATTGCAAAGAAATATTTAGAACAGGAGACAATCTTTGTACTCTATTCATCAATCCTCATAAAGGACACATATTGTAGTGTCTACTGTGATTCTGTGGAAACTGATACTCAGGGAAGTTAAGTTATATTCCAGGTTCGCCACTCTTGAGTGTAAAGGCCAATACTCACAGGGCTCTGAGGAAGATGTGGGGTGTGGACTGAGGTCTGAGGAATACTCTAGGACCAAGGGCAGGTGGAGCTCTTGCAGCTGTCTGGCAGGCATAGTGGACCTGGAAACTATTAGCTGTGGGGTAGCGGGGTTCATGGGGGTGGGAGGGTTGGCCCACAGAGTAGTTGAGATACTAACACACTCATTGAATCATAAGAAATGTGTATCTTCTGGGTTTATACGTTGTAACACATATCTAAATGCTTGAATTTTCTCTGGATAGGCAACATCTGTTCATTATGTTGGTGGCATTCTTTTCTAAAATTGGTGGTGCCTGTTTATTTATCTGAGAGACAGGGAGAAGGAGACACACAGATACAGCTTCCATCTACTGATTCACTCTCAAACGCTCACCATGCACGGGTTGGAGCCATGCTGAAGCTACAGCCTGGGAGATAATTTCTCCTATGTCGTATTGGAAGCTTCACTGGACTTTGTGTTTCTTCAGAGGTGCCCAGGGTTAGACAAGAGGGAAACAATAAACACATGCACTCTGAATTCACCTAAACACTGCAATTCTACACACAGTGTTCACAGGTGTCTGTGAATATTCTGACCATGAAAATGTAACATACTAATGCTCTAACTATACGCACATGCACACACAAACGAGTGCATGCACACACTCACACCCCATAATCTGTCATAACCTGCAGTGACTGACTTACTAAGCACAAAGAAATGCCAACAAAATACACAAACGCAGACCCCCCGATTGTCATGCACACTGTGACCACACAGAACTGCTAAACACAAAGCATACAAGCACAAAACAAAGGGCATGACTGTGCAGGTGTGGGCTCCGATCATGGGACGTTTAACACCTCCCCATCAGCACCCAGAAGTAGTAGCAAGAGGCATAAGTTGTCAAATGTGGGATGCTATTAGGCGCACTTACATCAAATAACCGGTAGCTAAAAGCTGACTACAACAGTGCCATTCACTGCAAGGAACAAGAGGAACCCAGAGGATGCAACATGGCGGGGGGGGGGGGGGGGGAGATCCACCATTGAAAATCACATGTAAAACAAAAGGGATTATCAATATCATCAAAATGTCCATATTACCAAAAGCAATTTATACATTCAATGAGATCGCAAACTAACAAAAGCATTCTGCATAGAGCTGGAAAAAAAATGATACAAGGGTTCATGTGGAAACACAAAAAACCATGAATAACCAGAACCATCCTGAAGAATAGGAATCTAGCTGGGGTAGGGGGAAGGGGGGTTCACAATTCCAGACCTCTGGACATAATATAGGGCAGTGGTTACTAAAACAGCCTGGTATTGGCACAGAGAGGAAGATCAATAGAGTAGAATAGAAGCATCAGAAGGGAACCCACATAGGTACAGCCAAATAATCTTTGACAAGAAAACAGACGACAATCTGGGAAAAAAGGAAGGTCTCTTCAATAAATGCTGTTGGAACAATTGGTTGATAGCCTGCAGAAACAAGTTAGACCCACAACTTTCACCATATACAAAGATCAAATCTAAATGGATAAAAGACTTAAATCTACATCCAGAAACCTTCAAACTTTAAATGTTAGAAATGCCCTGCAAGATTTAGGTGTAGGCCCTGGCTTCCTAAAAACAACACCAAAAGCAACAGCAATACAGACTAAAATAAACAAATGGGACTACATCAAACTAAGAAGATTTTGTACAGTGAAAGAAACAATCAACAAAGTCAAAAAGCAACCCACAGAATCGGAGAAGATCTTTGCACACTACACAGAAGACAAGGGGTAATCTCCAGAATATACAAAGATCTCCAAAAGAACCAAAACAACAAAACAAACCACTCAAAAAATGGGCACTGAAATGGGCAGACACTTTACAAAGGAACAAATCCAAATGGCAAACAAACATATGAAAAAATGCTCAAGTTATAAAGGAAATAAAGGAAAATAAAGGAAATAAAGGAAATCCAATTAAAACATCTCTGAGGTACCACCTAACGCTAGTAAGAATGGCTCACATGCAAAAAGTACCAACAACACTTGCTGGCGAGGATGTGGGGAAAAGGAAACCCGACTCCACTGCTGGTGGGACTGCAGGCTGGTACAGACTCTGTGGAGAACACTCAAACAACTGAAAATCTGCGTACCATATGACCCAGCAATAGCACTTCTAGGAATATATCCCCAAATACCCATTACACAAGAAACCAACATGCACTCCTGTATTCATAGCAGCACAATCAATAATTGCGAAATTGTGGAAGCAACCAAAATGCCCATCAATAGATGACTGGATAAGGAAAGTATGGTTCATCTACTGTATGGAATATTACTAACCTATTAAAAAATGCATTTCTTTGTGGTCAAATGGGCCCAATTGGAAACTATTATGTTAAGGGAAATGAGCCAATCACAAAAGGGCAGATATCACATGCTTGCCTCAATATAAGATAAAACAATGCCAAACCTAAAAATAGTACCTGTAAATTGTAATACTATCACACCCTCAATCTGTCTATACCACACGTAATAAGATATTGTGATGTAACCTACAAATCAATAATCAATGAGAGACAGACTGCATATGATAACTCTGATAAAAATAAGCCTTTTAACACCTATTTTTTATAATTGGCCCCAAGGACACTTTAATAGTCCTGTTGATAAACACTTTTCTACATTCTCAGATACGACTCCCATGTAGATAAAATAACTGACTGGTATCCTGGAACACCAATAACCCATGGCAAAGGTTGTGCTGTTATCTCTGCAAATTTTTCTAAGGGATTCCCCTGAAAAAACTATGGGTTTCCTTATGACTCCTCTGACCCTAGAGGTGTAACAACCACTTTGAATGCAACACTGCCCCTGGAGAAGATGGAATCCCCAAAAGAACTACATCAAAGAACTGAAAAACCTGATATGCTGTTAATATACATTTTATTCCATGAGAGGTCGGGAGGGCAGAGAAATTTTCCACCTTCTTAGAGTGTGAGAGGAAGACGTTAAGTATAATCTATCAAGATTGTAACCGGTGATGTATAGATAACAGATTTTAAACCACATTAGACATTAGCAAAAATATAGAGACATACAGTAGGGCCCAAGAGTGATCCTGACAGCCTCTTAGGAGTTCATATACACAGAGCAGAAGGGGGGTCCCAGGGCTGAACAAAAGGATAAGAGGAGGTCTGTATCCTAGTCCCAGAGACACCTGGAAACTTCACAAGTGCTTTTGCCACAGAAGTAATGGATTCATCATCATCAAGGACTGTCAGTATGGGCACCAAGGATCATATCTCAACTGCCAAGGGGATCACAGGAAACTTGAATGCCCTCGTAGGCCAAGAACTCTGAAGTCAGTCAGTTCCTATCGAATTCCCTGCATGGGATTGAAGCAGCCCAGAACCCTCCACATAGAGTCTGATGACATTGGAACAACAGACAAGAGCCCTAGAAGGTTTCAGAGATAGAAGAACTGTAAATTTCCTTCTGGACTCAGGAGAGGAGCTTTCTCTGGTCCTTACTTAGTTCCAACTTTGGCTCCCCATCCTCTCTGGCAATGGTCATCAGGGTTGCTCAGGAGCCCCATAATTATCAGATAGACAGAGAGAGAATCATATAGAAAGATTTGAACAGACAGGAAAACGTCAGCTGGCCTATAATTGCTCAGCCTGTAACTTACTTTGTCAGGCTACCGATTTGGTCTTTCCTAGAACTCACTAGGTAGGATGCAGAGTTCAGTTATTCCTTGCTAAGATACTGGAGATTTCTCTGTGCACCTGCCTAAGACTGTTCTACTCCTCAAGTGTTAACATATGGCTTATTAGAATTATAAACCAGTTTTGATTAGCCTAAAATGCACAAAGTTCTATAAAATCTTGAATACTATAAACTGCTAAATATAAATATAATCATACAAAAGCAAAAGGAATTATTTGAGCAGCCTTAGAGGAGAATGCATGAAAATCATAATGGAATCCCCAAATAATGTTGCTAATATTTTGAATACTGATTTTTTTGAGGTATTGTGCATCCTGCAACCTATATAGGCTTATTTCTTTTAATGGCATTTTTGTAGATTCTGTAGAATTTTCTGTGCAAATGGATTTTGTGAGTATATTTTATGACTTCATTTTATCTTCTTTGTTAGTCTAATAATTACAACTTATTGTTGTAGCATTTTGGTAGCTGCCTGAGAGTTTATAATTCTCATCTCTGCCTCATTGCAATTTACCTTCAAATGATATGCTACTTCACACTGGCATTATAAGAACATTAACCAATATGCTTCCATTTCTCTCCACAGAATCATTTGCTATTGTCATGATATATTTTCCTTTGGAATATGTTACATCTACAACACATTCTTGTGATTTTTGCTTTAAATAATTATTATCTATAAGATGTTTCAACTATATCATCCATCATTGCAGGAGGGGTTTTAGTACCTTTTTTCTAATTTTGGTGAAAAATGATACCTGCCAGTGGTCTTTCCATTGTGAACTTTCTCAAACAATTGATATTCAAATAAACAAGAATATCAACACACTGTAGCCAACTCTAGTAAAAAATACTGACCAGTTACTGAAGTAGCTAGACTATCTCATAGCTATCTTACAGACAATACATTTCATTGTAGCAATAACCCTGGCTTTGTTAAGGCTTTGTTAAGGCTGAAGCCTTAATCACATGTTAATAATTTACATGTTCTCATAACATTGCTCCTCAGTTGGGCGCGGTGAGGTGGCCTAGCGGCTAAAGTCCTCGCCTTGATCCCGCCAGGATCCCATATGGGTGCCGGTTCTAATCCCAGCACTCCACTTCCCATCCAGCTCCCTGCCTGTGGCCTGGGAAGGCAGTCGAGGACAGCCCATAGCCTTGGGACCCTGCACCTGCGTGGGAGACCTGGAAGAAGTTCCTGGCTCCTGGCACCGGATTGGCTCAGCAAGGGCCGTTGCAGTCACTTGGGAAGTGAATTATCAGATGGAAGATTTTCCTCTCTGTCTCTCCTCCCCTCTGTAAATCTGACTTTGCAATTAAAAAAAAATTAAACATTGCTCATCAGTCATTCAGCGTAAGCCAGTCT